CTCTTTATCGCGTCGTTGCTTATCCTTTCTCGCGGCTCTGAGAACACTGACGTTGAGACGAATGGCGACCAGAACGGTGCGGACGTCGATACGGACGGCGTCAAAAGTCCTGCTGTGGCCGAAGTCGGGGCTGCTTTGACACAGGAGCATGGGGCCGAGAATGAGAAACTCGGGACGGATGACGAGCAGTCTGAAAAACCGGCCCCGAAAACGGCCAAGCGGGCCATGCCAGAGGTGGACATTCCCGAGAGTCTGGCGGATAATGAATTGCTCAAGGTCATCTTGCAGGAGGCAAAGCTGCTCTGGGACCAGATGGACAACTCGGAAGACGGGGACGAAGACAAGGGGACAGACACGGAGAATAAGTGACGAGGCGGTCAAGTGCCGAAAGCTAGTTGGAAATACTTTCCTCTCTGCAATCAAGTCGTTTTTATGTCTCATTTTAATGACATACCTAGCGTGGCTGACTTGTATTTTCGTCCTTTGGGGCTACACTGCTTTTTGTACCCTTTGGGTCAAGCAGCGCCGTGAAGTGCCATTTGTCTGTGAGAGGGATAAAATTCTGAATTCGCTCCTTCAAAAAGCTTACATCGTAGGTTATCCTGCTCTCTGGCCTCTGCGGTGCATCCCCCCTGAGCCATGTAGCAATGATAGCTCCCACAGTCGTGTTCCTACACATCTTTAAAAGGATGGCACAGGAGTATATATTAAGTCCCTCCGCCAATTCTGGGGGCTTATCGTAGGAAAAACCGTGTAGAGGCCCGATTCTTAAGCGCCATGCTCAACCTAGAGTGACAAGTAAAGCGCGAGATGAATCCGGTTGACCGTTTACACGAGGTCAAACAAGGGAGATGGTGTTGCGGCAGATGCGTCGCCCGAACCAGACACCCCGGGCCGCTGCCTAAGTTTCGTTCCACAACGCTCCGCGCTGACAAGAGCCAAACATTAACCGGCTAGGCTGCATAGATGATCGCCAATTTAGGCTTCTCGGCGCATCGCGTCCCACTTACTAGGCTGCCGATCGCACACAATGTGGTTGGATACGGGGTCTCCAATCCCTGGTTCGTCGTCATAGAGTGAAGGCACAGTGAATGCTTATATACACTGTTCTATATATTATTGAACTGTTGATCGGAAACTGCATGACTCGCGATACGGTATCCTGACACGGTGATGCCGCCGTTTGTGAGGAAATTGTCCGTCTCCAATGAACCCGGCATATATGAACTGCGCAGCATTGCTAAGCCTCTTCACTACTACTCCGTCATCGTAGCGCGAAACGAGGTATAACTACATATACCCGCCGTTGCGCAAAAACATGTCGTAATTATTTTACCTGCTGCCAACTTGTCGCGAAGCTTCGGCTACCACACAACACACGGCGGCTCGACCATAGAAATTGCACAATGGAAAACGTCCAATTCGTTCAGTTTGATGTGCGTTGATCCTCTTTGCATTTTGATCCTTGGATAACTCATTCTCAGCACGTAGGACAATGCATCTCCTCGCTCCTCGCCCCGGCCGAAACCTCGACCCATACCTACCCCCTCCGAAGCCATTCGGCTTCCGGGCTACGGCCTGCCCTTGAATTATCTTCCGCCTCGGAAAGAACGCTTCCCCGTGCTCATGGGCGACCGTAACAAGGACTGGAAGGCAACGACTTTGCTCATTCGGGAAGTGTGCATGCTGAAGTTCATGGAGGACATTACGAACAAGCCCGAGTGGTGGCGTAAAGTCTGCGACCCTAATATTGCAGCGAGATGGAAGCAGGAGGTTCTGAGCTTAAACTGGGCAGAGTACAGGAAACATGGAGATTTTACCAAGAACATGGCAGAGATGGTGAGCCGGCAATTGTCCACTGAGCGCCCCGGTACATATATACCCTGGCTAACTCTCGAGATGGTAGTGTATCCAGGAGCTTCGCAAAAAGGCGGCCTTGTACGAAGAAACGAGTTTAATCCCCGTCATGGACCACTCGACCTGTGTTATCAAGTCTGACAAGCTCGTCTCTGAAGACTTGACGGAGCGGCTCAAAACGGCGGTCAAGTCTCTTGAGCATGTGGCAGACAGCGACAAGGATTGGCACCCAGGGAGCGACGGCAAGGTCCTTGACTTGGTGCACCCATCGCTCTTCCCGCTACTATATGGCCGTTCCCGCATCATGCGGCATCAACGAATTGGCTTGGACGACTGCCTCAACTTTTGCGGTCGTGGGTTCCTACTAGAGAAGCCAGGCGACGACTCCGAGTCTCAACTGGAGGCGACAATCGACTGGCGCGGAGCACCAATAGAAGTCGTGTCGCCCCGATTTCAGTGGTTGCCGTGTGACGTTGCCATTGACGAAGACGGTCGGGCGACGATTGAGAGTTACATTAATAACTTGCACCCCAAGGACCACGCTGCTTTGTATCCCGTCATAGGGGAGTTTATCCAAAAGTCCTTGCCGGCCTGGGATCTAATTTACCGTTGGGTAAAGAGGTTTCCTGTGCAGCGCCTTACAGCTCGAAAGGTTGGTCGTGGGGTTTCGCGACCTGACGTTGTCCCGGAAGAGGCAGCGAAACAGAGTGAGGATGGTAACGATGGCGCGGAACACCAAAATCGGGAATTGGATGGCGACACTTTGGGCCAACTTTGCAGCGAAGAAACCGAAGACGAAAAAAGAAAATACTACACCTCTGATGGTGAGAATAGTGACGAATCCGAAAATCCCAATGATGTTGATTCCGAGGGCGAGGATTATGATGACGATGACGACGACGATGACGACGAATATGACAACTCGGATATTGAAGAAGACGACATAAATAAAGCCTCTCCCTACTTTAGAGTCTCAAGGAAACACATCAGATCCTCGGGATTCTTCAATCGCACTCCTCGCATCCAAGTTATCGTGAAACTAGCCAATATTCACCTCACGCCTGACAAACCATCCTACGACGGCGGCTCGTGGCACATCGAGGGTCAACTGAACGAGCACATTTGTGCTACGGCTTTGTTCTACTACGACTGCCACAACATTACCGAATCCCGGCTTGCATTCCGTACGCCCGCCAACGTGGAGAACCTCGGCCAGCGGCTCAAGTACCAACAAAACGACAGGGCGTCCATCGAGCGAGTATTCGCCATCCGCAGCGGTTTCGACACCCTCCAAGACGTGGGAAGCGTACTCACGCGCCCTGGGCGGTCGCTCTTCTTTTCAAACTTGTGCCAACACCGAGTGCAGCCCTTCAAGCTCGAGGACCCAACCAAGCCGGGACACAGGAAGATTCTCGCACTGTTCCTTGTTGACCCGGCTATACCGGTAATTTCGACGTCCAACGTACCCCCTCAACAAAGGCATTGGTACACAAGTGGGGGCCAGAGCGAGGCGGTGGCTACCGTTCTTCAAAATATGGATTCGATCATGGAGTTGGATGAGGCGAAGAAACTGAGGGAGGAGCTCATGGCCGAGAGGACTGTTTTACAACAGAATGTGGACGATGAGCTAAACCAAGTCGAGTGGAGCTTTTGCGAACATTGAAGCGTTTAAAGCTGCTCTCTCTTGCGTCTTTCTCTTCGCCGCTGTCTACGCCAGGTTAGGCTTGCAGACATGACCTGTTTTAGTAGGTATAGAAGCTAAGGCTATTGGTATCAGGTCGACGGTTGGACAAGATAGCCGCTCCCACAGACATTGGTTGGCAAATCCATCTTCGCGCACGGCCTCTTCGTCTGTTGGTTCAAAAATGGATGGGCGGTCGCACTCGTCACCGCGTCAGTCGCCCACGGGTGTCTTTGTACACTGTGACACGAACAGTTCCTGCCAAGAAAAAAAAATAAATCGAGGGGAAGGCGAGTTTCGTCAGAAGGTGCTGGGCGCAGCATTTCGGTCGGCCAAGACAAGTCGGGTTATGTTGTGTGCTGTCAGCCACCTGGGCAATGTTAGAGCAAGACCGTGAGAGGACATCTGGAGCCACAGCGGAATGAAACACCTGCTATCAGCTTGGATTAATCTAATATAGGCCGCTGAGCGACTACCAAAGACTAACTTTTTAATCCCTACTTTTGTCGAAGCAGCTACCGCTCAGGAACCCTTCTAGAATGCAACGTACAAACGTCATCATGAAGGTCTTATCTAGGCTAAAACGCGTCTGGAACATCAGCGGTCCCAATGAATTGCCCAACTTGACAGCTCCCTGGTGTTGACTCGGGCAACCAACCGATTCGCGACTCAGGCGTGTGTTTGGCAGGCCTCCAACCAGCTCCACAGCATGCCATTGGCAACTCATGCGTTCAGGGATCTCGTGCGGTCAAACAGCAGGGGCGTTTCGGAAACACGCGTGGCATTATCAATGTCTGCCGGCAAGGCTGGAAACGTTGGTTAAGCTTGATTCAGTTTGTGCCACGCATTGTTTGCTTTGGTTTGACTTCGTTGGCGGCCAAACATTGGTGGTGGAGGAGTGAGGAAAAGCGCACTGAGCTGGAGGGCAGCTCCCGTGTCACATGGAACGGGACTGGAGCAGGATCGCGGAAGGAGCGACCCTTCGTCTTAGCCACGACACCAACTCGGGTTGCATTTTTCTCCATCGCATGCCTCACTCCTCCACCCCATTCCATTTCATCCTTTGTGTTTACTGACCTATATTTGGCTCCAACGGCTGCCGGTTGGCACAGCCTCAGCGCTGCTTGTCACAGCTCCATTCCGCGGCCCAGCCCGCACACCTAGTCACTGCCACGCTGCTCACAGCCTCAAGCCTTATGGCAACGGTGGACCTCAGCAACCAGACTACGTATTCCGGCTTTGCACCCGCGGCTCTTGTGAACCAACCGTCCTCCATGCGCGCCCCAGAGGTGCTCGCCAGGCGACCGAGGCTATAATCTCTTCTCCTGTTTTGCATTGAGCTTGCCATCTATTCTCCAGACGTCTGCTTCAGCTGGGACTGACGGCGTAACGTTGAATCGAACCCCGCTGGGAGCAACCGCCTCGAGTGACGGCAATCCTCGGTACATCGGGCACGCCCGCAATGAGCGGTTTCGATTCTGTGGGCACGCTGCTGGCTGACATTGCAAATCGTCTTCTTGAAGGACTGCGCATATTTAGTCTCGCCGACAAGAGGCATTGGCGTCAGGACGAGTACGAACAGGTCAAGGCACTGGAGGAAGCTCTGAACGAGGCCAAGAAGGACTTCCAGGAGCTATGTCCGTTAGTCAACGGACAATCTCAATACGAGCATGATCGAAAATGTATGTGACTTTTCCCCAAGGAAGCATGTGTCAATCAGAAGATCTCGGTAATGGCAAATGCTAACGTGCTTAGACGAGACGATGCAAGAGCTGAGGCTCCTTCGCGACAAGTTTCGTGCTCATGTTCAGCTCCTTAGGGACTGGAGTCGATCGGGCGGACCAATTGACCCTGTGTGGGTACGAGAAACTCATTCTCTTCAGCGAGAATTACACCGAGCACAGTGCCGAGCAGCCAGGCGCGTGTTTACATCCTCTCAGGAGTCCTCGCAAAGATGTCTGGGCGCTTTTCTGGTACGGCGCACTCAGGCGAAGGTTGCAGTCCAGCCGAATCGGCAAGTGTCAGAGGCCGACTATCAAAGGCGCCAGTTGGAAGAGCTAGGTGCATGCACAAAAATCGGATCGTTTGATCGATTCGGGGAGGAGGACATGGTTTTTATTTGCGACTTTTGCGACGGCCACTTGATATGGGAGGATCTCGAAAACGTCCCGAACGAACGAACAGCTGCATCTTTGCCGAGACGGCAAGGAAATAGCCAGCATTGGCAAGCTACCGGCACAAGTTCATCGGGCCCACAAGAGAAGCTGGTGATATTCCCGCCGATAGCAGTTGCCAACCATTTGGCCCCGTTGCACGGCGACTGGCAGGCAAGACTACTGTGTCCTTTTTGTGAAGACGAAGCCAAAAAGCCGCAGGACGAGGATGATGAGGAAGAATTGTACAAGCCGAATGACGAGTTTGAAGATGTAGCATCGTTACAGGAACACATGGAGTGGCAACACGTCGAGGTTGTTGTTCCCAGTGGGCAACAGTCAGGTAACTGCACCGTCATGTAGCCGGTGAAGCAAAATAGATGCGAGCAGACGGGCAAGGCTGGCGTTTGATTTGGAGTTTTGGGGAACTTGGACATGGATACCATTACGACTTTATGACTGAATAGCATTAAGAATAGTATACATATACGTCAAGTCTTGTGCTGTACTGTGTACGCGTAACGCCCCATGACATCTCCTGGCCAATGCACATGTCTGTTTCTTTCTTTTCTTCTTCCCTCATCTCGAACCTTGTTTTCCCCTTGTCCCGTGCCCATTTTTGTTTTTTTAGAAAAACCTCATCCATATAAACAACAAGACAAAAAATCCCAGCCCGACAAACGGGCCATATTGCTTCAGCAATAAATCCCAGTTAATCCTCACCGCGGCCCTTCTGTACCTCTTGCTATCGTCTCTCAGCCGACTACTTATCTCTCCCATCCTATCCAAGCTGTCCCCCCGATAGAGCAAGTCTTCAATGTTCTTCGTCATGACCTTGGTCACATCCCTCAGCTCATCGTTGACTTTATCCAGGTTCTGAGCGGCCCTGGCATCCGCATACGTCGCCATCGTCTTGGTGATGAAGCTGTCAAAGTCCATATATGCATATGGGCGCAGCGAAGGCGAGTGCAGCTGCTGCAGCGAGTGGGTGGTGAGGAATTCGCGGGACAGGTCGGCGAGGTATGTGAAGGCCAGCTTGCGCGGGTAGCTGGAGTCGCAGATGCAGAGGAAGACGATGTCGCTGTCGATGAGGTAGTGGATCGCGTGAGGGGGGGATTCGATGGACGCCTGGGGCGTGGAGTTGCGCGTTAGGGTGCGTAGAATTTGGCGGACTTGCGACTTGAGTGATGTGACGGCCGGGGGTTCAGGGGAGTCGTCGACCGAGGCGCAGAGCATGAGGCCTACATTGGTTGTTATTAGTTTCTGCGAACGCGATGAGGAAGGGGAGCATTGGACGGGGTTATGTACCGTCCAGCCGTGATATTTGGGTGGAGAGAATCATTTTGGCGGCGGTGGTGGAAAGCTGGTGCTGCTTTCTGGGGCAGGGTGGAATTGTGCCGAGGAGAGTTGATGATGTGGTTGCCGGTGTTGCTGGTGTTGAAGCTGAGACGTGGTCCCAGTGGGCCAATCAGGGGCAGCGCCACATTGCAGATTGTCATTTGACGCCACCGCAGCAGCTATTGCCTAATTGGTCGCGGGGAAGCGCCTCTCCTTCCGCCTCACTCGACCCAACTCGAGAGCAAAAGCAGAGACACTCTCCCAGACCATCCTCTACATTTTGGTAGTACAACATCAACCTCTAGGCAGCCCGGCGCAGCCTGCTTCCATCGCCCTCCACTCATTTCAGGACACGTCTCTATCTTCTGAAGATGCATCAACGGGGCGCAGTACCCCTTTACGGGTATATTAGGCTGCCGGGTCTCCCTCCCAAGAGCCTGCATTGATCAACTCGCTTCACAACGCAATCATCCTGTACCCCGTACGACCATGTCTCACGTCGGATATTCTGTGTCGAATCACGATCTTCGCATGGTTGACAGCGGAGATTCTATGTTGGATGAACTTCTTCTTGAAAAACTCTCGTATAGATATCTATCCAACATAGAACAGTATGTAAGCCGCTGGTCCAAAGACATCGAAATCAAAGAACCAAGGATGGATTACGACCCAAAAACCTCCGTCGGGCACCTTGAAAAGCTTCCTATTGAAATTTTACATAACGTCTTCGAGATGCTAGACTTTCAGTCCTTGTTGCGATTCTCCGGCGCATGTAGGCGAGCCAGCATTCTCGTGCAAACATCACCAGTATATAGGGACTTGATCGAGTACGCTCACCGAGGCCTGGCCGCGCTGGCCTTCTCAGGTCTCATCGGCCATCACCCTGCGGGTGCACTTCGTGCCGCGTTGCGATCTCAGAATTGCTTCTCGTGCGGCCACTATGGCCAGTTATTGTTTCTCCCTTCCTGTCAGCGATGTTGTCGGATATGTGCTTCGCGCAATCAGTCACTGTGGGTGCTGCCTCGAGGTGTTGCTGCGAAGTGCTTTCGTATACCGCTACGTCAGGTTGATCAATTACCTGGTATCCTTCGCTTGCTCATGTACCCCCATGGGAGATTTGCAACCCCAAAACCGGAAAGTTTTGTCAGCGTCGCTTGTGCAAAGAGGCTTGCGCTTGCGATTCATGGCTCGGAGAAGAAAATAACGGATCTTCCAATCTCAACGCGTCTTAGTGACACAAAACGGGAGCTTTATGCACATTACCGAGCTGCGCAACTACGGCCCTATACCACCGATCCTCTCCTCATATCCACCACCTTTAATGACATCGAAGATCCACATGAAAGCTATGCACACATCTACCTCCCCTCTATTGCCTCCGGCGTCGTATATCATGGCTTTTTGTGCAGGGGCTGTCTATGGATGCGCCAAAATTACCATCCAAAGCGCGATAAGTCGACTAGCCTTGTGCCTATGGACCGAGGGCCAGCAGATTTGATCCTTCGAGCGCGATCTCGAGAGGGTTTTCTGCGTCATATTCGAATGTGCTTTGGGGTGCGTCTAATCGTAGCCACCAATGGCCTTGAGCACTGGGGACAAGAGATTGCTCATATTCCCATCAACCAGTTGGCATGAGGTTAGAATGGTTAATTAGATTGTGGAATATAAGTTGAAATTGTCACAAGAAGATGATTGAACGTGGAGTTTACCTTGGCTCCAGGGATGCCGTTGATGAATGTTCGTGGTCTCTTGGCTATGTTTACTTTTACGTTAATACCAGACCTTCTGCTTGTTTCTTCAGCCAGATCCGCTGTGGATGACTCCAACTACAGCATAGCCGTGCTCTTGTTAAAAGGTGAAAAGTGCTCCGGCCTAAAGGGCATTTGGCAGCGCTCATTACACCAGACACATACACTTGCTTGCCCAAGGAAATAGAGAGCATCTCTTTTGATAGTCCAGAGCAGCAAAGAATAGAAACTGGCGGTTTTATGCGCATTTGGTTTTAACCTTGACGGCAGAACAAAAGTTATTATTCTGGCATTGAACGAGATGCTTGTACTATATGCTAGATTATAGGCTGTGATCCGAAAATACTTGGGTGTTGTGTAGTATTAGCAGTTCAAACAACTTAATGATCGTTACCTCAGGCACGATTAAGCCCATCAGTCTATGTGGATTGGTGCAATAAGCCTCACGTGACTATTCTTAAGGCCTTGACATGATGACAGATAACAAAACAGAAGGCAGATGAAGACAATAACCACAAAATTCAGCTTCACCGGACTCCACTTCTTGAGCATGTTCGGTGCACGGCTCATTACTGAGCTGCGACTACCATGCTTCAAGAAAACTCCCAAAATGGGAGGCTTTGGGAAGCGGCCCTTTTCACGTTCCATGAAAATACCAGCGCCGTATATCCTCCCTGGGCCGATTGACGAAGAGCTGCTCCCGAATGGTCGCTTGAAATATTTCCATCCAACCCAGCCCGGCCAGATACTTGGCGACAGATTCAAAACGATTGCGAAACTCGGGTTCGGTTCGGGATCCACTGTCTGGTTGGCAGAAAATCTAGCATGGTGAGAAGTTAGAACACTCCAAATGACCAAATGTCCGCCACCGCGACATGAATCTAACCTTGAAATCAGTAAAAGATGGGCCAAGTCGGCAGGTCCTCGGTATGTTAGCATCAAAATATCCGCTTTAGATGCAAATGCTGCTGATGAGATTAGATGGATGAAGCTCATCTCAAAGGCCAATCCATCACACGAAGGTCTCTCACATATTCGGACACCCATTGATGTGTTCGACTTGCAAGGTGAACGTGGGACGCACACTTGTCTCGTATTTGAGCACATGAGAGAGACTCTTTTCCAGTTCCAGCAAAGACTTCCACGACAAAGGCTAGGGCCTCCAATATTCAAAGCTTACATGTTTTGCCTCCTCCAAGCTTTGGATTACTTGCACACGGAGTGCCGTCTGATCCATACAGGTTCGGTTTTTACATTCGCACCTCATTTATGTCGCTAACCGCGTTGCTAGATATCAAGGATGATAATATCATGGTCACCCTTGAGGATGACTCTGTTCTGAAAGATCTTGTGCAATACTACAAGACTAATTCCCAGCCCAGGCATGTCAGAAACGAAGACGGGCGTGTGACGTATTTGTCACATGATGAACTTGGTGGCCTCCGTGGCACTACTCTCTTACCCCGACTTGCTGACTTCAATCTCTGCTTCCCTGGACTACCTGATAATCGGGGGCATTTATCTCCCATCCAATCTCATCGGTATCGTGCCCCAGAGGTGTTTCTCGGTTGTCCGTGGTCATACAGTGCTGATATATGGAATCTCGGCCTAATGGTAAATCAAAACCCTGTGGTAATTGACCTTGACACATGTTTGTACAATTATTCTAACTGCAACAGATGTGGAATCTGTTAGAAGATACTAGCCTGTTCAACCGGCCTGCTGGCGAGGACGGCGAATACGACGCGCATGTTCATCTTGCTCAAATGATTTCCACCTTGGGAAATCCTCCTGAGGCTCTAGTCCAAAGAGAACGAATGTGTCGTAAAGCTAAACTCGGCAAGATTATCATAAGTCCGAAGGGGAAAGAGTGCGAAACTATGAACGAGTTTTGGGGAGGTCCTTTTTTTGACGAAGACGGTACGTTACAAGGCCACACAACCACATTATAACCCTAACCAATCGTCACATGATAGGCTGCATTATCCGCAAGGACTTGGTCGAAGAAGGGAAGAAGTTATCTGATATGGTGACCGAGTTAGTTGGAGAGGAAAAGGAGCAGTTTCTAGACTTTGCCGCCTGTATGTTGCAATGGCTACCCGAGAAAAGGAAGACTGCTAAAGAGCTGCTAAAACACCCCTTTCTTGACCCTTTGAGAATCTCATGATGGAGGATGTGAATGGGCAGCCGGGACCATTGTGTGGACAAGAACGAGCAGTTTCGACTACCGTTTCGCTGAGCTTGACAGTCTGCAGTATTAGCCAAGACGGCTACCGACCCTGGGCTAGTTACTTTTGCCTTATGCAATTGCAGATTGAATTATTACTTTGCGGTTTCTATATACTAATACAAATAAGACTAGAATATAATATATCCTGATATTAAAGCTTAACTTATATAAGTTTTAATGTATATATATATATATATATAGCTTTTAATAAATATACTTATAAATATATACTATCCTTTAAGACGCCTAGAGCTGTAA